CTTCACCTTCAGGCTGGTGTCCCTTAACACGTTACTTTTAAGAAATAGCCCAAGTCAGAAATAGTAATAGTTTTTATTATGATTGTCCACATAATTTATGGAGCTCTACATTAGTTAGAGGAATAAAAGAGAGAGGTCAGTCAGGAGACTTGAAGTAGTTTCAGGAGATGATGAGAGCAGATTCTTTGCAAGAACGCTGATTTGCCCAGAGTGAATGCCCATTATAAGGGGATATCACAGGCGACGGAATGGTAGGGTTAGGGATGTTATCATGGTGCCACTTGAGAAGCGCTGAGAGAACCTGAGCAGTAGAATTCATGATGTGACTTATCAAATGAGATTATACATTTTTCCCCAGAGCCAGCAGGAAGATGAAAAATGAAATTTGTACACAGATAACTGATTTGGGCTAGGGAATAGAAAAGAAGCTTTAGTCTTAGATTTCCAAAAAATAAAAGAGAGAAGCACATGTTTTAGACAACTAAGTTCATATACAGGGTGATAAGTACTGGCCATAACTTTGAATACATATGTTACTTGTATCTCATGTCAGATAATTGACTATTTTACTATTTGCACCTAGGATGTTTGACACACATTTGTTCTGGGGAGTCAGATTGGTATGGAAACAGCATGGAGTTTGAAATTTGGTAGGCCTAAATTTGAATCTCAGCTCTTGGATGTCTTGAGTTAGCTACTTACTAGACTTACCCCCTCATCCCCCTGTTTACTGAGATATAATTGACACGTAACTATGTATAAGTTCAAAGTATACAACATGATTATTTGATGTATGTCTATATATTTGGAATGCTTACCACATTAAGTTTAGTTAACTTTACTACACATGGGTAAAACTTCTTGTAAGAAGTTTTAAGATCTAGGTCTCAGAAATTTTCAAATGTAAGATACAATAGTGACAGGTATCATCACCATGCTGTACATTGCATCCCCAGAACTTAATTATCTTATAACTATAACTTTATACCTTTAGATTACCTTCACTCATTTCCTACCCCCACTTCCCATTTCTGGCAACCACCAGTCTCATCCCTGTTTCTGGGTTTATTTGTAGATTCCACCTATAAATGAGGTCACACACTATTTGTGCTTCTCTGTCTGACTTATTTCATGTAGCATGTAAAACCCTCAGTGTTCATCTATGTTGTTGGAAATGGCAGGATTTCCTTCCTTTTTACGGCTGAATGACATTACATTGTGTATGAATACACACACCACTTGTTTTAGTCACCTATTTATCTGTTGGAGAAACTTCAGTTGTTTCCATGTCTTGGTTATTGTAAATAAAGCAATGACAACAAAGATGCAAATATGTGAGATAGTGATTCCCTTTCCTTTGGATATATACTCAAGTGGAATTGCTGAATCAGATGCTTGTATTTTTGACTTTTTGAGGAACCTCCATACTGTTTTTTATTGTGGCTGCACCAGTTTACATCCCCACCCACAGTGGCCAAATGTTTCCTTTCTTTTCTCTACATCCCTGCCAACACTAATCTTTTGTCTTTTTCATGATAGCCTTTCTAACAGGTGTGAAGTGCTATCTCATTGTAGTTCTGATTTACATTTCCTTGATGACTGGTTATGTTGAGCCCCTTTTCATGCACCTGTTGGCCATTTGTATGTCTTCTTTGGAAATGTCTATTCATATTCTTTGGCCATTTTAAATTAGATTTGTTTGTTTTCACTGTTGAGTTCCTTATATATTTTGGATATAAAGCCCTTAATCGGATATTAGAAATTTCTTATTATGTAATAATAATCAAATATTTGAATCACTTAATATATTACTAATTAGATGTGTGATTTGAAAATATTTTCTTCCAGTCCGTAGGCTGCCTTTTCATTTTGTTGATCACTCCTTTTGCTATGCAGAAGCTTTTTAGTTTGATGTAGTCCTACTTGTTTATTTTTGATTTTGTGGCTGTGCTTTAGGTGTCACATCTGAAAAATCATTGCTAAGACCCATGCCAAGAATGTTTCTTCCTTGATTTTCTTCTAGAGCTTTTACGGGCTTTGGTCTTACATATGAATCTTTAATCTATTTCACATTAATTCTTGCAAGTGGTATAAGACAATAGTGCAGTTTCATTCTTTTGCAAGAGAACATCTAGTTTTCTGGCAACATTTACTGAGTTGAATTTCTTTTTTTCCACTGCAGGTTCTTGGCTTTCTCTCCATTGAATTTTCTTGCCTCCTTTATCAAATATTAGTTGAGTGTATGTGCATAAGTTTATTTCTGGGCTCTTAATTCTCTTCCATTTGTCTATTTGTCTGTTTTTATGCTGCTACAGTACTGTTTTGATCACTGTAACTTTGTAATATTGTGTGAAATCAGGAAATGTGATGCTTCCTAGCTGTGTTCTTCTTTCTCAGGACTGTTTTGGCTATTATTAAGAGTCTTTTGTAGTTCTAGGCAAATTGTAAGATTGTTTTCTCGATTTCTGTAAAAAATGCCATTGGAATCTTGATAGGGATTGCATTGAGTCTTTAGACATCTTTGAATAGTATGGACATTTTAACAGTATTAAATCTTCCAAACCATGAGCGTGAAATATTTCTCCAATTATTTGTATCTTCTTCAGTTTCTTTTATTATTGTCTTATTATTTTCAGCATTTTTTTTTTTTTACTTCCTTGGTTAAATTTGTTCCTCTATAATTGTTTTTGGTGTTCTTATAAATAAGATTTTTTTCTTTATTTCTTTTTCAGATAAAGTGTTAGTGATAGAAATGTTACTGTTTTTTTTGTATGTTAATTGGGTATCCTTTAACTTTACTGAATTTATTGATTAGATCGAACAGGTTTTTAGTGGAGTTTTTAGGATTTTTTTTTTATGTAAAAGATCATATCACCTACAAATATGATTTTACCCTTTCCTCTTTAATTGAGATGCCTTTTATTTCTTTTTCTTGCCTAATTACTCTGCTAAGAATTACATAACTGTGTTGAATAGGAATGGGAAGAGTGGATACCTTTGTCTTGTTTTTCACCTTGGAGGAAAAGCTTTGACCCATTTACCATTGAGTATGTTAGCTGTGGGTTTGTCATGTATGGTCTTTTGTCTTGTAGTATAGTATTCTATACCCAGTTTGTTGAGAGTTCTTATTGTGACTGGATGTTGAATTTTATCATATAGTTTTTCTGCATCTGTTGAGTTAACATATGATTTAATCCTTAATTCTGTGAATGTGTTGTATCAGAGTTCTTCATTTTTGTGTGTTGAACCATCCTTGTTACTGAGGGATGAATTCCAGTTGATCATGGTGTGTGATTCTTTTAGTATGCTATTGAATTTGGTTTGCTCTTATTCTGTTGAGATTTTTTTGCATCTGTATTCATGATGGATATTCACGTGTAGTATTCTTAAAATGTTCTTATCTGGCTTTGATATCAGGATAATATTGACCTTATAAAGTGAATTTGAGAGTGTTCCTTCCTCTACTGCTTTTTGGAAGAGTTTGAAGAGGATTGGTATTCGTTCTTTTTTAAAATGTTTTATGAAATTCACCACCGATGAAACCATCTAGTCCTGTGCTTTTCTATGGTGGGATATGATCCGATCTCTTAACTCATTATTGATCTATTCAGATTTTCTATTTCTTATGACTTAAACCTATGTAGGTTGTATGTTTCTGTGAATTGGTGCATTTCTTTTAGATTGTCCATTTCTTCTAGATTTCTTCTAGATTGAACTATACGGTATATAGTTGTTCATACTAGTATCTTATCTCTCATATTTCTGTGGTATCAATTGATTATCAGATGTTTTTGAAATAATTCTTCATCTGTAAAATGGGGATGGTAACACTGAACTCTAGAAGGATGAATGAGAATATAAAACATCCAGAAAAGGGTCTGATACTCAATCAAGGCTAAACAAAAGTGAGTTACTGTCCCATGGAGAGGCCAGAAACAGTTTTCTCTTTTTCATTCTTATGGGATGAATGGAAACTGAAAAAAAGAAGACCTATAACAACTGAGAGACTAGAATTTGTGCTTATAAGAGAGAGGCCACAGTCTATGTTTTATCTTCAAAAAAAAAGTAAATTGCTTAGGAAGAAAAGAATGTTAGTTATTTAAATTATGTGGTTGGAAAAACAGTAAAAAAAAAAATCAATTCAGAATATATGTATTACTTAAGAGTGCCATGCAAAAATAATCAGAAATTAAGCATTGTATACTTGGCCGCAGAGTACAGTGATTCATATGTATCTCATAGTCAGATATTAACAAAATTATACATTGGTCAGGTTCAATTATTAAAAGTTAATTTATTTCTCATTTTGAAATTTTAAAGCATTTGTGTAATGATGGTGTTTTAAAACCTTGCTGCTTATTATAGCATTTGAATTTATAAAATCTATTTTTTATTTTTCAAAACTAATGTCATTCTCCTTGTTTACTTTTTCTAATATAATCCTAGGGAGTATTCATTAGACTTATTTTAATATATATATATATATATATTTTTTTTTTTTGATTTCAGGAGTGAAAACTGTTAATCTGAAAATTTCTAAGGGTTTTTTTTTTAATAAGAATGCTGTGTTACCTATTTATTATCATTTCTAAATAATACAGTGTACCTAAGTAACATTAAATTTCTATTTTTACAATGGCCAAGCAATGTCAAATGGTTTAAAAAAAACGTGGATCTCGAATTTCTTTTGATTAGTTAATCATTGTAAGTTTATAAACTTTATTCCTTATTGATATGATCATTTGAAGATAATACTGTATGATTTGTGTAATCATTTTTGAGTGGTTGAAACTTAAAAGAATTGAGAATTGTAAATTTCTGTGCTGGGTGGAAATAAAATTATCAAGTATGGTAGATACTGTTTTTTTAATATTTCTCCTATAAAGTGGCACATATTACTAAAATAACATCTTATTGTATGTTTTAGGCCTTTTTCCATGTTAAGTGTGTACTATCTCTTTTAAAAATTTGAGCTTTGTTTATTATTATCATTTGAACAGGTGTCTCAATGCATGTACCTACTGCAAAACTAAACATGCCAGAGGAAATTTGGCCAGTTACCCAATTGATGAACTAGTAGAAAGAGCCAAACAGTCTTTTCAAGGTAAGAGTTTCTAGAATCATGTGTGATTTTAGTCTTCCTAATAAATCATAATAGTCTTCTAAACAACATTTCACTTTAGATACATGCTCCTTTAACTTTCTGAAGAGTTTACAAATATTTCAGCTCATACAGTAGAAATGTTATCAGATTCAGTCAGCCATGTTGTAGTATTCACATTACTCTTCTTTTACCACTCTTCCATTTACTTATGATGTATTTTGAACTTATCACCTATTTCTTTTCATATAAAAGATAAAATATAAAAATGAAATCCATGGCTGTCTGATGTGTGGTAAGACTTTTGTGGACTGAGGGGAATACTTTTTAAGACTTCTATCTCTTTCTTTGGTAATTTTTGGACTTGGAATGTAGAATGAATAAGTGTTTCCAGGAGTCTTAAAAAAGGCATATTTTACTCTCAGTCAGAAAAGATCAAACCCTCTTTATCTGTAGAACTTTGGACCAGCAAACAGTGGTGCTGGTAGAGAGTACTAATGAGGATGATTCTTTGTGTGGGTAGCCAGCTACTTTTGAATCATCACTTGCTGGAAAACATGATTTGTATAGGTATTTCTCAGTATATGGTAAGACGTATCTTTAACATGAGTCACAGTTGTGTTGACACATAACTGCTTAAACCATAAACTTCCTCTTTTGTCTTTGTTTATAATGTGTGTATAACATTAGTGTGTCTTTATACCCAACATGATATAATCTATTGTCTCATAATCTTGTGAGTTAATAGTTATTGGCAATGTACCTCTCTTAACAAGGAACTTGAAGTGCTATTTCAGTACTTGACACCCTGAGAGTGCAAGTAGGAGTTCTGAATGTGTCTCTTTAATCTACGTAAAGCTTTCATCAACGTGATTTTGGAATGCTCTTTATAATAGAGAAAAAAGTACTCTTGATTGATTGATTAACACCCCCTGACAATTTCTTTCTGTTTCTTAGTTTAGTCCCTTCATTCACATTTAACTAGTATTGAACAGGAAATAAAAGGCATCTCATTGACTCTTGCCAGTGTTGGGTTTTAGAGTCCAGTAATGACTGAACCTGAAGAACAGTCTGAGCAGTTGCCTTCTGTACAACATGACTACATTAAGGCATGTTCAGAAAGGGCATACATTTACACAGAAACCTCATCTATTTGAAAAAATGATGCTTTTGCTGGCATTCCAAATAAATTCTAAATTTATTTTTCTATATATCTGTCAGAAAATGGGGATATGAAAACTCTAGGATCTATCCACCAAACACTGCAAATTGGTAGAAGTATGAATTAGTTCTTTTGAAGTAATTCTCCAACATTATGCATTTCTAACCACAGCTAACTATAACTTTTAAAAATCTTCTCACTTTACCCTGAAAATTTAGATATAAAACTGATACATCACTGGCTAGGAAGTGAACGTAGTCTCTTGGCTCCCTTATATTTATCCTCACCCATAACCTATCCTGGCATTTTGATGTGATTGCTTCATGACATAGTATGCACACTTTTTGTATTACATGTGACCTGAGGTAAAAACCAGGAAGGAATAATCACAGTTTTTATAAATGAATCATAGAATTTTTCTAAAAATATCCAACTTAGTTCTCTGGTTTATCTTTAGAAATGCCCTGTGAGCAATATAAGTACAGGGTGTGACTTCTATCAGACTTTGTTGTTACTTGACATCATCATGACCAGTGGGTTGGGCCAGTTAATGTTAATATTACAAAGAATATCAGATGTTAGCAGTGATGCAGTGTTTATTCATAGAGAAAGCATTAGAACAGCTTGATTTAGTATTGCTTTCATCATCATGAGTGTGTGTTTGGGGGTGTGTGTGTAGGTACATTGCCTTTTTATTCCCAACCATGGAATATAGTCCATGTAACATTTCTGTTTTCTTGTTATCTATATGTGAGAGCTGAAACTGAATGCTTTTTTGGACTGATGAGCTCATCTGATTGATACATGCTACTGTTACTAAAATACTGAGGTCAGAACTTCCTAGGCAAGCCAGGGTGGTTAGGAAAACTTTCAAGTCATTAGGTATTTGATGCCCTTTGTCATAGGAGGGTTTGAATTTGAAACAGTGCTCTGCTGCTTATCAGCCACCATGGTCTGAAGAAGTACTTGGCCCCTCTAAGCCATGGTCTCGTTACTGTGACATTTGGCACTGTTTGGTGTTAGAATTTGAGATAACTTACAGGAAGTAATTTGCTGTGTTCTTTTATAAAGAAGACATGTTATGTTATTTAAACTGAAGGAATTTAAAGTGAATTCAAAAAGTCTAATTTTTAGTGAGAGCATTAGAACATCTGTAACAGACATTAATGACTAGAGTCAAGTGACAGATTTTCTTTTGCTGCTAATTATGTTTTAGGAAAAATGTCTCTATAGATAGAAACTATTTGGTGTGATTGCTACCTTTCATTCTCTTAATTTGAGAAAAGCAAATTCACGCTGAAGATGGCCCTTAAAATCTTTTTCCACTATAGGAAGTACCCGTTGATAATCAAATTTTAAAGGCATCAAGTTAGTTCATTATCTTTTTTTTCTGTCGAAGACATTTGGTTATTTCTGATCTTATAGATTTTCTGTATGTGAGCTTTCAAATTGTGAAGAATAATTATGAAGGTAAATATAACAGAAGAATTTCTCTCTGATCTCTATGACTTTTGCATAGTTATTTCTTCAATAATTCAGGTGTTAGGAATATTCTTTGAGCTAGAACCTGGTCAGTTCTGCACAACACCATTATTAAATGGTCCTGTAATTAATAATAAACATTATGGTTCTTTGAGAGACTAAGGTGAAAACTCTAAATATGCTGCCAGTAAATTTTAGTATTATGAAAGCCACTCAGCCGGTAGACGTGAAATTTGCCATCCTGCAAAGTACATTTCCTTTCTTTCTCTTCAAATTTTTGATGACTATGCATCAGAAATACTAAATGATTTTTAAAAACACTGAACCACTTGTAGAATGGGGTTAGAACCCAGATTGCCTGTCATATGATACGATAAGAGCACAATTTCTTTCTGAATAGCATATTTATGAAACATTTTATATTCATAAAAATTTATTTCTTAGTAGTATAATGAATGAGGAGACTAAGGGCTGACCCAAAGGCAAGGGAGCATTCAGAAGAAATTCTGAAATAATCACAAAATCATTCTGAATGTACAGTGGATTCCCAAAGCACTAAAAATATACTGACTATACATTCAGCTGCCAAAAAGTGAGAAAGAGAGCTCATTAAATTTTGAATGGATAACATCAAAGTCAAAATTATTTATATTTTTATATAGAAACTTTAGGTTACCTTTTACAAAAAAAATATATTTGTATTTAGTTGGTTTCCTAACTTTTTTCTTTTTTTTCCCCTCAACCTGGTCCCCTTGACATTTTCACCTTTTCAACATGTTTATCATTTTTTTTAAAGATTTTATTTATTTATTCATGAGAGACACACGCAGAGAGAGAAGGAGAGACACAGGTAGAGGGAGAAGCAGGCTCCATGCAAGGAGCCTGATGTGGAACTCGATCCGGGATCTCCTGGATCACGCCCCGGGCCCAAGGTGGCACTAAACCACTGAGTCCCCCAGGCTGCCCTCCATGTTTATCATTTTTTTGGCCAGTTCTGAATATAAGATTTATCATAACTTGAGCTTCTCCTTTCATTGTTGTAACACACTGTGGGGAAGCATTCCCCCTTACCTCCTCACCTCTGCTGAGGTTTAGGTTTTAAAAATTCCTGGGCATCCCGGTGTTTGAGGACTGGGGTTTGACATGGTTGCATTTTAGATATCTAGAAAAGCATGTCAAGCTGTGACCAGGACTTTGTTGAGGCCAGAATGAATTTACAAGCTAGTGTTTTCTAGGATATTTGTATTGATTTTTCTCTAGCAGCTAATCAATCAGTTTCAGTTGTATAAGTGATGGAGCAAACCTTTTTAAGTGTGCTGGGTGAGTGGTGTGGAAACAACACCTTTCAGTGCTGTCTCTGGAATCAAAATGTAGAGATGATGGATGAGCTGTTTTTATAGCGATTGTGTGCTTTTTTAGATCTCATTTGTGTGTTGCTACTTTTTCTCTCCCTCATAAATGTAAAAAACCCTCACAGGATAAGTGGCATAAACCAGTTACGGAAAGGTAAATAAATTAAGATATATTCAAAGCAGGGAGAAAGTTTCTTGGTTTTTAGTATTAATGTTAAATTTTTTAAAAAAATGAATTATGTTTTGAGATTTGCAAAGATACTATCTGCTGTGTGTAAGATTAACTATGAAATGCAACTGGAATACATTACCCCTAAACTTTTAGCTAGGAAAGGATATGAGCAGTATTTGATTTTTGGATGTATGAACCTAGATTGTTGAATTTGATAGTTTATATCAAGCTACATTTGACTCATCAGTTTTAGCAGTGATTACTATATATTGATTTTGATCTGAGATCAGAAAAGAGACCAATAATTACATCCTGTTAATTTATATGGCAGTTATTCAAATGTCTCTTTGACTCTTTTATCTTTTCATTTGTGCAGTGTTCACATAGAGAAATTTCTTTCTCCTATAGGATTAATAATGTTACATGTTTGTTATACATTGTCAACTTCCAAGGAGGATTTTAGACAGCTTACAGTAAAGGGTTATGCATGTTAACAGACCCTGAAAATAAAAGCTATAAAAAATGTTTATTGTGTTTGCAAAGAGGGAAGATAATTTTACAAACTTGTGAATCTTGGCTCTACAGAAGAATAAAGAAATAACAGTGATACTTACACTTTGATATGAGTGCATAAAAGGAAGTATATAGTTTATAATGAAATATGTATATGTTTTGAGACTGCAGGCACAAACAAGAATTATTTTCCTAAGAGACATTGAATAATAGAATAAAAATGCTTTTAGCTGGTCATACATAGAAATTCCAGATAGAGTTTCTACACAGCCTCTTCTGCTGATTCTTTAAAAAAAAAAAATAGTAATTTTTCAAAAATTTT